TGGGCGTCCCTCACTGTAACGACGATGACGTGAGCTAACGAAGAAGAAAAAATATTCCAAGCAGCAGCGATCTTCGCCGCGCAATGCTGCCGGATTGGAAGAGAAAGAAAATGCTAGAACGAACATACCGGCTTCGGCTGGAGGCGGGGGCTTGGTCGGCATCTTCGCGGGCGGGGGAGGAGGCGGCGGCGCCTTGGATTTCTCCTCGGTAGCGGCCGCGGCCGCGTGGGCGATGAGCGTCGGAGCATCGCTCTCGTTGTCGATGAGCAGGGCAAAAGAATTTTGGTTCGCCATGGCGGGCCGCCGCGATGCAGATTATCGGAGCCTTTTCACCCCTCTTCAGCTCTTCTGTGCCGGCCTGGAGCTGGCGATGGCGAGCGCGCGCGTCCGCGGCCTATCTTGGACAGCAGCCATTGCCTGGAAGAAGTGGGAGCTAGAACCCTAAAAGCCCTAGAAAGTCCAGCCACGCAAGAACACAAACCCTGGAGAAGAGAGCTATCAATCTAGCGCCACCGCTCGCTCGCTCGCTCGCTAGGGTCTCCCTCTCTCTCACTCGAAGAAGGCGCAACGACAACGACGAAGAAACCTCACGGACACACTGGAATAGGTAATGTAAGGCGGCGGCTTCCAATACTATGGCCACAAAATATCCACGTCCGTACGCATTGTCCCGTGCCCTTAGGGCAACGCCACCTTTAACCGGACATTAGGGCAACGTCCGCCACCTTTATCGAACTTTTCTAACCTCCTTTAGTTTAAGCTTTTTTTTGTCACAAGTTCGTTGTGATTGACGATCAAGTGTGGCAAACAGCTGGAACACACTTAAGAAACAAGTTGGCTGTCGATCATAGTTGCTGATTGATTGATCGCGCGAGAGATCGAAAAAAGAAGAATTTTCAGAGTCATACGCACTCATCATGCTCACGCGCGGTCGAATCTTTCTTGCATACGATGGAAAGAAATCGATCAAGTGATCCTTATCATATCAGCCAAGAACACACCGACTGACACCACCATGTCAATCTCACCTTCACGTGAACATTGTATTATTATTTTCTCTAGAACAGCCAGAAAATTTTCCTTTTCAGCCGTCCAACAAATCCAAGAAATAAAAAAATGAAAAAATTACTGTCAATACTTTTCTTTTTTCTGGTCTTTACAAAGATCCACTCCCTTGAGCTATTTGCTCCAACCACACCGCAACTTGGCCCATTGGCGGCCGCTCCTCCGCCCTCACCCTCACGCACTTCTCCGCTATCTCCGCCAGCCTCGCCACCGGCTCCACACTCCGGGGCCCCTCCACCGCCCGATCCACCACCTCCGCCCACCGCCCCGTCCTAATCAACGGCCCAGCCCACTCCGCCACCCCTGCCGGCTCAAACTCGCAGTCGTACGCCTTCCTGCCGGACAGCAGCTCCAGCAGCACCACCCCAAAGCCGTACACGTCATCCGCGGCAGTCATCCGCGGCGCGGTGGAATATTCCGGATCGCGGTACCCCGCGTCCGGCGGGGCGACGCGGGCCGACCACTCCGCGTCCAGGAGAATATTCGCAGACTTTACGTCCCTGTGGATGACGTCCTCCTTGTGGAGGAATTCCAGGCCCCTGGCGGCCTGCGCGGCGACGCGAAGCCTCAGTCCCCACCCCAGCGGTGAGAGCCCGCCGTGGAGGTGGTCGCGCAGCGTACCGTGCGGCATAAACTCGTAGATGAGGAGCCGCTCGCCCATCTCCCCGCAGTAGCCCACCAGGTTGACAATGTTGGCGTGGCGGAGCTTGCACAAGATCTCAAGCTCCGCGTCGAAATCCCGGCTGCTGCCGTGAATCCTCTGCGCCGCATTCGCGCGCTTCACCGCCACCAGCTGCCCGTCGCCCAAGACCGCCTTGTACACGAAGCCATAGCTCCCGCGGCCCAGCTCGTTCACCTCCTTGAAGTTGCCCGTGGCGTCCCGGAGCTCGGACAGCCGGTACCGCAAGGCCTCGGGCGGTTTGACGCACGGTATGCCGCCGGAGCCAACCGACTGCAGCTGCATGCCGCCGGAGGTGCCGGTGCCGGTGCCGCCGTTTTGGTGGCCGTAGGCGCCGTCCCCCGATCTCCCGCTGCCGCTGTTCCGCCACCATCTCCCCCTCCGCCGCTGCAAGCAGCACCAAGCCAACAGCCCAATCACCGCCACCACGACGCCGCCAGAGATGGCGGCACCCAGTACCGCCGCTAGGCTTACCGCGCGGTGCCGCCGCTCTTCCACCCCAACAGCGCTGCTCTCGGGCGCCGGCGACAAGTGGCACAGCCCGCGGCACAAGCTCGTCTCGCACAGCGAGCAATCAGTGCACCGCCGGTTGTCATTCGCGCCACAGGGTGCCGACACGAACGATCCATTCGAGCAGTCGCTCGCGCACGGCGCGCACACCTGCTGTGTGCTGCTCGAGCACAACCCCGCGGTAACCACGCCCAGGCTGGACGCGTTAAAGCTAAACTCTCCCGCACTGCACGGCGCGGCGGTACACACTCCGGGGCTCGACAGCTGCAGCGGCGGCGCGAACTCCGTGCCATTCCCCCAGCACACCACGAGCAGGTTATCCTCCCGTACACCGCACGTCACGACGCGCGACGAGGCCAGCGCCAAGAACTCCGTCCGGTCTGGCGCCGCCGACGCATTAAACCCCCGCCCCCAGCACATAACGCCGTGCGTGTCCTGCCGCACGGCACACCCGTGATTCAATCCCAGGCTGAGAACCACGAAAGGTATACCGCGCGGTGCGTCCGTCTGACCAAGCCGGTTGTCCCCCCAGCACCGAATCTCCCTCGATTTCCTCACAATCCCACACGCGTGCTCGCCGCCGGCAGACAGCGACTCAAACTCCACGTCACCAGGCGGAGCCGTGGCGGCAAGGTTGGCATCGCCCCAGCACCGCGCGGTACCGCCATCGCCGGTCTCTATACCGCAGACAAACCTCCGCCCCGCGACCAGGGACCGCAGCGTCACGCCGCGCGGCACGTTAAGGCTGTCGTCCCCGTTCCAGCAGTCCACCAGCGCGTCCTGGGAGCGAGCAGCGCAGACATGGCCGTCGCCAGCGGCGATGGAATCGTAGCTCGTGTTCTGGAACTGCTCGGGGACGATGTTGATCGACGTGAGGTTCTTCCGCCAGCAAAAGGGACGCTGGCTCCCGGCCGCGATCCCACACATAAATCCCATTCCACCCGAGAGACCCAGCATCGCCGGACCCGTCGACGGCCACTCCAAGCTCTCATTCCTCCCCCAGCAAAACACTTGCTGCTCGAACGTCGCCTCGACCGCGCAAAACAATGGATCGTCCTCCCCGTACGAGGCAGCGATAGAACACATACCGCCCAGTCCGAGAACCATCTTCGCCGAGCTCAAGAACTCGAGGAAGAACACGAAGAGAATTGTCCTGCTATAAGTCAGAGATGGTGGTGAGGATTTGCCGCCGAAAGTCATTCCTTTCCAGCCTCTTTCCCTGTGATTCCTGTCCTAGATCTTGCTGCGAATGCCACAGCCAATCTTCCTCCTCCCTGATCCCTGCTACGCGGTTCCTGCTAGAGGGCATTGAGAATTCCCTGCCTGCGATCGATCCACTTACTAGCGGCCAGAAACCCGAGCTACCAGGCGATGATCCTCCTCCTCGGCAGCCAAGAACAGCGGGAGAAAAGCTCATCAATCCTCCTGCCGAGCTGTACATGTGCATGATCCGCCTAAAGAAAGCAACCACAGCTGGAGCGCTGCCATCTTTGCAAGAGCCACCAAAGTTTTCTCCTGCTGGATGATTAGCCGCTTGCCGCAGCCGCTGCTGCTGCTACTGCCGCTGCTAGATCCCGATTGGAGCCATCCTCATTCTTTAGTCGGGTCGGACCGAAATCCTCTGGCAATCATAGGAAGAACCAAGCTATTCGTCCCCCGCGGGGAGAAAGAATAGAAGAGACCCCAAAGAGCTAACTCCACAGCTGGCCTGTGATCCCCACCACCACCACCACCACCTCCACCACTCCGCCACCACCACCACCACCGCCACCATCACCAAATTTTTTCCAAGTACCCGTCACCCGCCCGTCACCTGCCCGTCACCCCAGCAGCAAAGCCCAGCCGTTGGACGGCACAAACGACAAACGGTCCAGGCGCTGCCGCGTGTCGGCTCCCGCTTGGCCACTGCTCTTAACTAAACATCTAGTTCCCTGCCATCCATGTCTCTCGTCCTCCTCCCCCGAGCGAGATAGAAAAGCTCTCTCCTTCTCTCGCGATTCTCCTCCGAATTTACTGGAGTGGTGGTCAATTCGATTCCCCGCTATCCACTGCTGTTGTCACTGCTGTTCCTGACTACTTCCACACTGTTTGCGTAGACCATCCATGACTCTTGAGTTCGTCCTTGCCGAGCTTTCTTCCTGCTTTTCTGCTAAAGTTCTCGTTTTCCCCCCCGGGGAGTAAAGATCGTCGATGGGCGGAGAAAAGTGGAGTAGCAGTCCAACCAGCCGGCCAGCCAGCACCACCAGCCCAATTTGCACTGCCTGTCCCTGACCGACTGTTCTTCTCTAAACTTCCAGGACATCTTGACGAGCTATTCCCAGGTCGTGTACTTTGGGCCGGCCACCTTTGCCGAAAACAATCCACTCCGCCCCTCTTTATGCTCCATACTCGTCGACTGTTTTTGCTTCCTCCCAACGTGCAAACCTCTGCCGGTTTCTCGTATTCAATGTCTCTTTGCCTTTGAAATCCAAGCGACCTGACACAGCGATTTTAGTACCAGCCTTGCAAACGATATAAAATGTAATGCGAAGAGGATGGGCCTGTTTAAAGCTCGAAATTTTGAAAAGGAAAAGGGTTCTTACCTTGACTTAAAACATGGCACATGGTTGGATGCGTGGCACTGAAAAGTAATCAGCATCGTCGGGACCTGACAATAACAGTTCACTGGATTGAAGCTGCAAAACATTGCATCTGTTACAACACAAAAACTATGGCAGGGATTGAAACCTCTGAGACAAAAACTGGATATCTGGACACATTCACCTTTATTTCGTAAGAGTAAAAAAATTCGGCTGACTTCCAGAAAAACCTCTCGGTTTTATTCAGCACAGAGAAATACCTGGCTGGCGATCAATCGAAAAAGAAAACCAAAATAGTGTACATCCTGTGCCCCGTCACCCGCTCCCAAAGGACAAAAAAAGAACATTTTACTTGGACTGAAGTAGTTGTCTAATCACGTAATGTAGAATGCCTCCATTCTCAAAATACGTCAATTCCACCTGCAATGAGAAGCGTTACCAAGAGAATCTCGAGCAAGAAATTGAAAAACGAACCTGTGTGTCAAACCGCAAAGTGCAGGTGAAACTTTTGCCTTTATCAGTCTTCACAACAACGTCTTGCCCCGGCTTGATGTCCTTGATGTCCGAAGGAATATCGATGGTGAACCTCTCATACCCTGTCAATCCCAGCGATTCTGCGTCCTCGCCACTCTTGAAACACAACGGGATGATGCCCATTCCCACCAAGTTGCTCCGATGAATACGCTCAAAACTCTTCGCAATTACTGCTTTCACACCCTGAAAGGAAAGGAACATTTGAAGGCAACAATAAAAACGCAACATTTTTTTACCTGCAAATACGGCCCTTTGGCAGCCCAATCCCTGGAGCTTCCACTTCCATATTCTGCACCAGCAAGTATGATGGTATCATGCCCCTCGTCTTGGTATTTCTGAAAAATAAAAATATAAAATAAAACTCAAAAAATTGCAAAATCAAATATACCTTGGCAGCGTCAAAGACAGAAAGCTTTTCTCCAGAAGGTATATGAATTGTCTTGGGGCCAACCTCGCCTTTGAGAAACTTGTTGACAATCCGGATGTTGGCAAATGTTCCTCTTGCCATGATCTCGTCGTTACCCCGACGGCTTCCATAAGAGTTGAAGTCCTTTTTCTCAACTCCACGTTCCATCAAGTACCTGGCAGCTGGACTGTCTTTGTTGATGTTTCCCGCAGGAGATATATGATCAGTCGTGATGCTGTCCCCAAAGTTTAGAATACAATACGCATCTTTTACGCCGTGGACACCAGGAGGGCTCTCCGTCATCGATTTAAAAAACGGGGGGTCATGCACGTAAGTAGATTCTGGATCCCACGCATATAAAGCACCAGAAGGAGCGGAAAGATTGTTCCACATTTTGTTTTCCTTCGTGATGGTCTTATATGTTGATCGGAACATGTCCGGAACCACGGCTTTTTCGACTACCTGGAGAGCGCATGTTAAAACAAAGAAAGCACGAGCTAGTCAATACCTTTGCCACTTCTTCGGACGAAGGCCAAATATCCCTCAAGAAAACCTCTTTTCCTGATTTTCCAACTCCAATCGGTTCCGTATCGAAGTCGATATCAACCTATAAGCGAATTTCTGTCAGAATCCCCAGCACGAGATGCACAGCGAAGGATCTTACCGTTCCAGCTAAGGCATATGCGACTACCAAAGGAGGTGATGCCAAGTAATTGGCTCGAGTCAAAGGATGGATACGACCCTCGAAGTTACGGTTTCCAGAAAGCACGGCAGCCGCGATCATATCTGAAATTAAGAAGTGAGAAAAATAATTCCAGACAAAGAATTACTCACCATTGTCAGCAATCGCAGACGCTACATCTTCGTGAATTTCTCCAGAATTACCAATGCACGTTGTGCAGCCATAACCAACCAAACTAAAACCTTGCTTGTCAAGATACTCTGTCAAGCCACTGAAAACACGAAGGATGTCAGACAAAGAGTAATATACATGTCACTTAGTTTACCTCTGCTTAAGATACTTTGTAACTACCCCGGACCCTGGAGCCAGACTCGTCTTTATCCAAGGCTTTACTTGAAGGCCAAGTTCTGTTGCTTTTTTCGCAACAAGTCCGGCCCCAAGCATCACACTGGGATTCGACGTATTCGTACAGCTTGTAATGGCGGCAATAACAACATCGCCATGTCTGAGCTCAGCTGGTTTTCCTTCAAACTTGAACTTTGCAATTGCCGACTGCTCATCTTTAGGCACGCCAAAGCCCTACAAATAGTAGCATGTCAGATAAAAGAAAATGAATTATCGGTTTCTTACCTTGAACCCGACCTTGCTATCCAAACAATTATGCCAATCTTCTTTCATATCTTTTAAGTTTACCCGATCGTGTGGACTGAACGGTTCAACATGAGAATCTTAGCAAGTATGAAGAACCTCCCTTACCGTTTCGGACCAGACACGCAGGGCTGTACTGAATCCAGATCCAACTCCAAATACGAAGAATAAACCTTCTCGGTTTCAGGCTGCAACAACCAAGATACATAAGAAACATGTGTAAAGCTCATATACATGCATACCTCATTGTAATCGATGAACATTTTGTTTGCTCGCAAGTAGGATTCAATCATCTCGACCTGGGCACAAACAGCATTCAGAATACGTTTGTAGAGGCCGAAAGAAACAAGTACCTTCTTCTCTTCACGACCGGTCATCCGCAAATACTGCAAAGACACGTGATCCACAGGGAAAAAGCCCATGGTGGCACCATACTCAGGAGACATATTTGCAATAGTCGCCCGATCAGCCAAGGACAGCTCTTGCATACCCTTGCCTATAAAAAGCGTGAGTAGAATACTCCAGCGAGTGCAAAACAGAAACCTTACCATAAAACTCGACAAATTTTCCAACAACACCATGTTTCCTCAGCATCTGAGTGCACGTCAGCACCAAATCGGTAGCAGTAACTCCAGTTCGAAGTTTGCCGCTTAACTTGAAGCCAACAACCTCAGGCAAAACCATACTCATTGGCTGCAAACATGTACTCTTTGATAAACACTAAAGTAGAATCAAATCTAATTATACTGACCTGACCAAGCATCGCTGCCTCAGCTTCAATACCTCCAACACCCCATCCGGCAACACCAAGCCCGTCTATCATCGTCGTGTGTGAGTCAGTCCCAACTAGACTATCCGGGTATAAAAATCCATCATTAGAAAAAACCACACGAGCTAGGTACTCGAGATTAACCTGCAACCAATAATGTCTCAGAAGCAAAACTAAAATATTCAAAACAGTACCTGGTGCACAATACCCGACCCAGGCGGCACAACCAGCATGTTTTTGAAAGCTGTAGCACCCCATTTTAGAAATCCAAATCGCTCCTTGTTACGGTCGAATTCATGTTTCATGTTGGCTTCAAGAGCATTCGCAGCCCTCGCTACATCAACTTGAACTGAATGATCTATGACCAGATCAACAGGAATCTGAAGAAAATAAACGGAAAGAAGTTTGAGTCAAGAACATAAACTAAGTTAAGCTGATCACGTAGCTTACCATGGGATTAATTACGTTGGGATCCCCACCGAGCCTCTTCATCGCATCACGCATTGCAGCCAAGTCAACAACAGCAGGAACTCCAGTAAAATCCTGGAAAAGAGACAGTTAAGCTAAGAAATTACGAAAGTATCTAAACTGGTGGGCTACCTGCAAGATGACTCGTGCGGGCTTGAAAGCGATCTCCACTTGCTGGGGAGCTGTGTTCTCCCAGTCTATGATTTTCTCCACATCTTCCTTTGTGACTTGAAAGTTGTCACAGTTCCTGATGCACGACTCCAGTAGAATCTTGATGGAATACGGCAGCTTATCTGAAAAGCCAAAGAATTTCAGTGGCCAAACCACGCACAAACAATGGGACTTACCAACGCGAGGATCGTTCAAAGCTGGCAGGCTGTAGTACTTTCCATGGCCCTCCAAAGGCTTTACCAGATTCTTGTAGGGGTTAGCTGCAAAAAACGAATCCAAGGAGAAATATTTCAGCTCTTGCGAATGCATCGCAGCGAAATCAGACCTGACGAGGAGTAGTCCCTGGAACTCCTGCGCTGTCCAGGCGCCGTCAAAACCCCGGCCTGCGCGACGGCACATTGACCTCCTCCGATCCTAGCGCCCCTCCTGTACCAGGCGGGGGCTCCAAACGGCAGATCGGCAGCGGCCACAGAGGAGGAAGAAAAGTACTTCGATCTAGCAGGCCCGGCACCGGACCTAGCCGACGACGAGCAAGCGGAGAAATTCCTGGATCCGGGATTCTCCAAATACACCGCGCGCGCCCGCAATGCCAATCGCGCCAGGCGCGGCAACTTGAGCGACGATGACACAGACATCGGGGAAGAGCCTATCGATTCTCACCAGCGCCGCCGCCTCCTCTCTCCTCAAGCGATCATCAGAATGAGAAAAGCTTCGATAGGAGATTTTCAATTCTAGGGTTCCTTCTTTTCCCTTAGAACCAACACGGGTGGAGCCGTGGCCGTCGGATGGAATGGCCATCGCCCCCGCGCGCCGTCGGATCAACACGTGTGGGCGGAACGAGCACGGATAGCGACAAAAGGGAGGCCTTTCCTGATGGCGGCATTTTCATTTGCACTAATATAAGCTAAATTAGCTTGCTTCGTTGTCCCCTTCTAACACTGCCAAAACAGCAAGACACTTGCCCCAGTGACAGCACCTTCGTTAGATTTGCGGCAATTCTTTGGTCCGATCAATCCATCAATCAAGGGGCGCCCAGATCGCGATCGATTGATCCCAATTCGCGATCGAATGCGCCCAATTTGACGATTTCAAGGCGTGCATTTGCATCCGCGCACCGAATTCCACGAATTTCGCTACCGGAGCTGCGAATTCCCCGATTCCCTGCTCGTCTATAGCGCCCTAATCGCATATGCCCAAATGGGGACATGTCACGATACCCGTACGTAACTCCCCCATTTTCCCGCTTCCGTACGAAATGTCTTTTATAATGAGGTTATCAATTATCCTCCATTAGCTTGTATCGTTTCTCTTGGATCCCAGTGACTCCCATTTGGATCTCAATGACAGTGTGGAGTGGTACCTGTAGTCGGCTAAACGCGAGAAATCAAGATCGTAAAGCATTACCTCGATGTGTGGGATTTCTTTCAGTGGTTTGTCCGCAAAGTAGGCATACAAGGAGCGAAGAACAGCCTGATGATAAACGCTAGTTAAAATCGTAGCACGAAACGAGACGAGACGATTGAGAAGAAGCAAAGCAAACCTGATGAGCAATGACTACAACCGGAGCCCTCTGGCGCTCCAACTCTATGATGACTGGCTCAAGCCTGTATGACAGAAACACTGAGAATTCAAAGGCGATAAAACTCTGTGCTTACCTCTGTATTACATCCAGATAGGATTCACCGCGAGGATATCTGTAGCGCAACTTGTCCAGCTTACGCGCTCTGAAAATGAGGTATTAGGCCAAACTCAAGAAAGAAAAGGCCAGTCCTTACAAGTACTCGTCTGGCATTTTCTTCCCGATTTCTTCGTAAGTCATGCCGTCACAGATTCCAGCGTTGATTTCGTCCAATGCCCGCCATTGCACCTAAGCAAGAGTTTCTATGACCATTTTCTACTATGCACATTTTTCCTGTACCTTTGGAAATCGTACAATGTGGTGGGCAGTAAGACTTGTTCTTTGAAGGGTGCTAGTCCAAATCTACAATTGACAAGTGAATCCATGGAAGTAGTTTAGCGAATAAACTTACAGATGCTGTAACTTCTGATTTAAGTTGCTTGCCGATGAAACTAGCCAGCTGAATGGCATACTGCTCTCCAGCGTCACTGCCATGTACAACGCTTTCAGATCAAAAAGGTATTAAAAAGTTTACAACCTTAAAGGTGGATCGCCTCCAATCTGCCCTGTCAAATTGTACATACTTTCACCATGTCGTGTTAGAAAGATTGGACGAGGGGTAATGTGAGTGTTGACCTGGAAGACAAAGCAACAGAGCTAAACACGTCAACAAAATCGGAACTTCTTACCAGAAAGAAAACGATGCGTCCAGGCAAATATCCACTGATAGCATTTATCTGGCAAATAAATTTAGATAACTAGCGAAGCCTCAAAACGGGTTACCATACTTGTATTTGACCACCTTGCCCTGTAACAGTATCGATCATCTTGATGTAAGACCCCTCGTCCACGGTTTCATATACCTGAGAGACAGAGTGAGTGTCTGTGAGAAAATAAATTGTACATTACTTTCTCATAGTTTTCAAGGCGAGCTTTGAAATCTTTGAGTGCCACATTATAATCTGTTCTGTTTTATAGAAACTTAATCCAAAATGACAGAGTGACTTTAAGCGCTTACTGGTCAGCGTAATCCGGACTTTGCTGGATTTTGAGATTGATGTTGCGATCGATTATACTCTGGTCTTTACAGATTGTTTCTAAGAAAATCACCTTCAATGTATATAATATAGCCAGATTTCAGCTCAAGAAATTTAAAAGGTGTTACCTTGCATTTGTCTTCTGCTAGTTTTAAAATCAAGTTCCTTCGTTCTTTCGTGCTATTCGTGGCATCAAAGACACCAATCTGCGTAAATCAGAATTAAAGCTACATCAAACCAGAAATGACATCACACCTGACCACCAGCGTCCATCCAGGAGAACATGTCCTCCATTGCAAGAATCGCGACCTACAAAATAAAAGATAGTCATTTGGCACAAGCCGGACACAAGCAAAGAAAGAAGAAAGAAACGAATACGAAATAAAAAGAAAAGGAAAAAACTCACTTCGTTTCGCGCATCAACACCTTCCTGATTGTCGCCACGAAAGAAGTCTGCAGCCTACAGTCACACATTGTTACATTTTTGTCAACCATGCTTTCACATCTACCTGAGTGCAGCCGTGTTTTAAACGCCTGTACTGGTAAGAAAAATCACACCAAAAACCTGAGAGCCCTTCAAGACAAACAAAGTGACTGACTGACTTTTCCAACGTTGAAGTGTTTAGTGTCATGACCAAGCCAACGAAGATATCTGGTTAGCTTGACAGCAGTGAAAGTTTTCCCCCTTGCTGGTAAGCCCACCTGTAGAACCCGATTCAAAGATAAGAGTTAAGAATGACGACAATCTACCAGCACAATAGCGAGTTGGCGCCGTTCTTTTGGAAGCAGCATTCTTTCAGAGACCGCTGCAGCTGCCACAGCTCCAGTGGCCTCCGGCATATCCTGAAGAGAGAAAGGAGGAGGAAACGAGTTTCCAATCATCAAGACAACCAGCAATTTATGAATGCTCACCTCTCGCTTGTCATTCAGCCCCAAATCGCCGTCCAACATACTAATATCACTGGAAATCCGGAGGAGCTTTGGAGAGTTACCGACGCTCCTGTTCACAAAGAGACCCTGGTGATCCTCATAACGAGGAGTTGAAGGATCCGTGCCGATAGAACGGGATGACATTCTTGCTTCTGGCGACTTTGGCGTTGTCCCCATTCCAGAAACAGTAGACTCCACTGCCACAGGGTCTTCAGAGCCTAAAAGCACCAAGTCCTTAACAAGAATATAGTTAAGTGGTAAAGAAATATTCCAGTTTGTGAAAACAACACACCTTAATTGATACGGACCTGGGTCGTGCCAAGGCATTCTCCTTTGAAACCAATACGCCATTTTCCTGAGATTCGCAAGAAGCTCGCAATAATAATCACACGCTGTTGAAAGAAGCACATAAAAACCTTACCTCTTGTTTGGATATGGTCACTGCAAACTTAAAGCTGTGAATGAAAACTTCGGAGATTTCTCTATCATCGAGAGAGAAAATGTGATTCCCAAATTCATCGCCATTGGAGATTCCAGTGCCGTCTAGAGAGAATCTGAAACGTACTTTTCCTGTAAAGCGCTATAAGCTAGCATGTAGCTAAAAGTGCTATGGCAGTGGTACCTGAATCAACGGGAAAAGCTTTCGTGAGCTCCCAAGTATCCGAACCTATACGCTTCAAATCCATCTGTGACGAGCACTAGAAGAGAAAATTATAAAAAGAATAGAGAATAAAGAACTTACCGCGTTCTGGAATGATCGATCCGCTGCCGCGACGTAGACACGAGGAGAAACATCGCTGGGAAGCTCCCGATGATCAATCTTTCGCAATTTCAGCACAATGCCGGCTCCGGCGCTGGGACTTCGCAATGCGCCAGGGCTGGCGCCATCATCCATTGCCCTGATCGTCGCTGCTACAACATCATCCCTCGGCAGCCCATCCCAAACCCTGAGCGATGACGCGAAGCCAAGAACAAAGAAAAGAAATCCCTATCTATCGCTGCACTTCCTCTTTGTCAAGGACCTTCGAATATGCTTCGCAAGCCAGGACACGTAGTCTACGGCCACGTGTCATCGCGCTGTTCGATGTAGCGGTTCTAAAATGGGCGTAAGCCCGGGCGAGGCTTACTGGAGTCCACACTAGGTCAAAGCCCTTACTGTGCTCAGATCTTGATCGCCCTTGCTCGTCACGCCGTTCCCAAGCCAATCCCCCCTTCAGCCCTAGCTCCCGCCATGTCCTTTATCGCTGCCCTGCTGCATCCCAAGAAGTCCCCTGCTGATCCGCCCCCTGATCCTCTGTAACAAACCCCTCCCCGCCACGTCAAATCTCCTTTCCGAGTCATCCCTCCACGTGTTCTGCCTCACTTTGTTATACGGGCTTGTTATTGGCCGCTACATCGATCAGCAATGGTAGAATGACGCCGGCAGCATCTTCTGCAATAGATTCTTCTCGCTGAGGCGCTATGAGCGCTATGAAAAAAGGTCACAGCATGAAAAGGCAAGATATATTTAATTTTGCAAGCAGCTTGTGCTGAGTTGGAAGTAAAGGTGTAATGTTCATGTCCGCCACCTCCACCACAATTTATAGCACTCCTTTCCAACACTGGATTTCCATGCACAAGACTTCCTGGGGAACCCTGTAACGGCTGCGGAAGTTGCAAAATACCTTAAGGCCATGCCGTCAACCTGGCGTTTAGATAGATGGTAAAACATAGTAATGGCGCTGCAGTGACTTTAAAAATATTTAAAAACAATAATCAAAATTAAAAGATTTCATTCAATACTATATTTATAATATAGTTAATTCTACAGCTTCAAAACAATATTGATGTTAGGGCTGGAGCCTTGGGGTGAAAAATCTATATTAAGGGTTTGAGTAAAATGAAATCCATAAAGGTTTTCTTAGGGCATGGCGGAGATGGAAGGCGTCGAGTCATTTTTGAAGGCGCTGTGGGATTTGCCGCTCACTGCCGAGGAGAAGGCGCGGATCCATTTAGAGTTTATGGAAATGCCTGTGCATCTGGTAGCTAGGAACTTCATTCCTCCAACTCCACAGGACAAAGCGGCCACACTTCGCTCCTTCCTCAAAAAACTTGAAGGTAAGGAACGGGTTCCGAGCAATACATTTGTCACTAGTGCTAAAGATCTTTTTTTCAGGTAAGGAACGGGTTCCGAGCAATACATATGTCACTAGTGCTAAGGATCCTACCAGTAAGAGACAGAGGGTAATCAGCAGGTATAAACCGGTTTGTGTGGAGCCGGCGACAATGCTAGGCCAGGCCGACCGGATTTTAGTTGCCCTTCGGTGGCTGTACTTGCTAGTCGAAGTGCAGCTCACTCATTTACGGACGGCTAGACTTCGGAAGATGAAGGTGGCGGAAGCGGATTACTACCCTGCGATTCTGTGCTTCCTGGAAGCGGCATCTTTTGGGCAGGAGGGTTTGCACTTTGGAGGAGAGGGACAGGGAAAGGTAAAGAAGTCGGATCTTCAGGGTTTCGTGAGCTCCAAGATGAAGGCTCCAACCGAAGTGAAGACTTCAGTCAAGCACGCAAAGGACAGTGACCCGACAGGAGTTGAGTCGAATGCACTCTTGATTGGGCAAGAAGCTGAATACTTGGAATCAACGGAGGGAGATGAGCCCGTGGCTATGGGCTGCCTTTTCTGCCGCATGGACAGGTTCTGGGTGGTGAAATATTTGCGACAAGACGGAAGTGTGGAGGTGAGTCCTGAGTTCCCACGAGCGCAGAAGCCAATGAAACTCCGCAGCAGTTGGCCCTGATGAATCCCGCCTTCATACTGATGAAGCTGAGGGATTTGGACGACAGCGAGAGCAGGCTGGGGAGTGTTAGGCTCTGCGATATCCTTCCTGGCATGCCGTCAGCGGGATTCTCGACGTTGGTTGCATACATGGAGCAGCTGCGGGAGATACATGGTCTACGGGTTTCAGTTGTTCGTTTTCGTGGAGCACACAACGACGATATCAGCATCTCAGACCTGAACATCGTCGCTTATGGCCGCAAGTCGCTTGTCATGCTCAGGAGATCGCGCTCAACGGTGTTGAAGATATGTTTGCCTGCAGATGCTGGCACCGAGAGAGAGATACATTCAGCATCGGATTATCATCCTAATCTGCGGCAACTACTGAACTGGGGGACTGTGGACGTCGGGAACAGGGAGGGTGTTTTCCAGTTTTTGGAGTTGGACGGATTTGGGGAGCCTTTCAGAGCGAAGCATGTAAGTGATTTAGCTTCAACTGAGATGATGTGGAACCAGGCATTCGAAGGTCTGAGGCATCTTCACCGCAAAAGCATCCTGCATCGAGACGTGAAGCCAGACAACATGCTGGTGTTTAAAGGGAATGTATTGAAGATCAATGACTACGACATCTCCTGTTTCAAAACTGATCGTCAGGAATTGAGGAGAAAGGTTGGCACTCGCGGCTATCACTCGCCATCCAGCTCGATGCAGCCTTACAAAGAAGAAGACGACATCCTATCCCTTGCTCTGGCGTTCTATTCTGCAAAGCTCGGCATCAAAAAGTCTTCAAGGACGGGGCGCTTGCAGATCTTACGATGCTGTTTGGATCCGCACCTGTTCCCTGCTTGCATGAGGATGGCAGTTGAGGATGCTCTGCGGAAACTCGGCCTCGATCAAGAACAGAATGATGAAGACAACGAAGACGAAGAAAATGAAGACGAAGATGAAGATGATGACGAGGAAGGTTAAGCAGAGTTGTCGGGCACAGAAGTGGAAGCTTTTTGTACTTATCTTTCTTATCTTTTTTTTGTCTTGTACACAAGTAGAAAGCGGTTTAAAGGTAATTATGAAGTTATCAAAGGTGGAGGTTTTAATATTAAAAGCGCGATGAATGCAGAAACAGACAGAAAACTCACAGGAATTTAAAATTACAAACCTATGAAATTGATGTGATGTTGCGAAGATCCTCGATAATGAGGACACTTCATTCCCAAAAGCCGTGCCTCTTCTTCAATGAGAGCTGGCTGAATCTTCCTTCCTCTACTTCTGCACACCTCTTGCTCATAGCCTGGCCAATCGATATCCACCTCGGAAGACACGAGGCGCTGGAAGTGCTGTTGTGGCCGATCGATATCCACCTTAGAGTCACGTTCGGAAGATTTATGAGCGCTGGAAGTGCGCATAGCAACAGCGGACTAGGCTTTTTGGTTATCAAATGGAGGTCTCGTGCCGCACCCGGCACCTCAGTTCCATTTCCGGGACTCGAACCAGGGTCTTCCGGCTGAGCCAAATATCTTGACCGACTAAATTGGTCTAGATATGATTAAGAGGAAAGCTTAAGGGGTCCGGGCTTTAAGAATGGCCTCCATCGAAGGGTCCTGCTTCTGCCGATCCGAGAGGCGAGCCGAATGTGGGGGATTCTGAAGCGAGAACCGGAGCAAGCTGCCCAGAGATTTTAACGTGTTGAGAGGCACACTTAGTCGAGAGGCGAGGAGCAGCTCTCTCTCTCAACGGCTACAGGGCTTTCGTTTCCCAAGGGTCTTGAGGTAGCAATTCCAAATCCTTCGCTGCGGCTTATAGGAGTTCCGTATGTGCATGGCTTCGAAATGACGCTTGGTCACCAGGCTCGTGAGCTGGATGAACTGGACGATAGGTCTCTCCGACTTGAAGGAAACAGGTTGGTCTTTTCTTACTTCTTTGGATTCTAATTGAGTGGTGAAAGTTCAGATTGTTTTATGAGGGCAGCTACCTTCTGGCATGCCAGAAATACAGCCTGTGCATGCAAGGGCTTTAATCACGAGTGGAGGAGTTTTTCCTGGCTGCATCTAACAGGGACGTCACCTTTCGTTCAAGAATGATTCTTGAGGCTGGAAAGGTATGAGGAAGCACTCGCAGATTGCAATGTGGTGCTGGAGGCAAATCCGCTACATGAAAAGTTTCTCTTCAGAAAAGCGGCCACTCTCAGTGCATTTGGCGTACATCGTGAAGCTTTCCGCTGTCTGGAGCAGGCTCTTCTGCATGCAACTGCTTCATCAAGGCCGAGTATAGCGAGATGTTCGAAGTTCCTGGAGCAGTCAGACAAGGGTGTTTACGACTTGGAGGACTACATATGGAACAACTGCAAGTTCGAAATGGCTCCAGAGTCTAGCGATTATGTTAGACATGTCAAGATCAGACTTACACCAGATGGCTGTGGATGGAGTTTATACCTCACTAAAGATGTTGAAGTTAGGGAATTACTTATTTAATTTGCTTCAATTGAGCTCAACCCAAGGGGTAGGATGTTAAGAGAGTTAAGTTCTCAAGAGAGCTGCAAATGACTGTCAATCCAATTGCAAAAGTGTTTAACCTTGACAGGAAGGTGGACAACTGCCAACTAAATTCCAATCTATTTGTGGAACTTGTTCGTGCTGCAAGTGCATCTTCAAGGGTAGTCAAGCAGCTGAATGCCCTGGCCTTTAATCGTAGAGGGCTCTTTTGTTCGACTTTTCTAGGCTATCATTCTGCTTTTCAACCCCGCTCCAGCGGCCGGAGATGATATACAACACATGATACCTCGAGTAAAATTTACGCATGGAATTTAGAACGTTTGAAGGCGAAAGTTTTAATGCTCTGTTAAGCCAAGCAAAATGAAGGAATAGATTTGCGAGAGAAAATGAAGGCATTTCATGAAAACGACATGGTTGGCCCACAAATATTATGCAAAAGGAAGCAGCACCACAATTAGAATCAATGGGGGAAGGGGAAGAGGAAAGAATAAATTAGATCCACTAGTGGTAGTGGAGGAGAGAACCTTTGGTCGATGACGAGTAGACTCCTTTAAACTATATAGAACTTCCAAGAGCCATGACAGCTGATACAACTGTTCCGATTTACAGATTAAAGAATTGGAGCACACACGAAGCATTTTGTAGAGAAACACAAAGTTACAAAATGGAAGATTGTCCCTTGAGCAAGCGGCACCTTTCAAGCGGGAGAGGCTTTTTCCAGTACTTGTATTGGATTGCATAGATTTGTATGTTTTTAAGTTGCGAGCGCACACGATTTTGTTCTTCGGCTTGCTGTAACTACAGGAATCTCTATCGTACAATCTTTATTCTCTGTTGTTCTACTGCTGTTCATTGTTCTTGGTGATGCAGAACAGATTGTTCGATTCAATCGATTTTGAAACTAGACATATAAGTCATGCCAGTTATAAGTGGGGACGATGTGAGCTCAGGGCAGGCTGTTATTCTCTCTGTACTTCTCTCCATCCCTCTCGTTCCATTCCCTGCTTGCTTGGCTACCTATTCCTTCTGATTCAGGGAGTTCTTCCTCCCTAGTTGTCTCGTTTATTCAATACAATGGACCTGATAGAGATCGGGGTCCTTGGACACAAGGCCGTGACATACGCAGCAACAAACATCATCAAAACAAGACAAGCCAGTTGCAAGTTATCTTTGCAACCACGATGCACTATCACTTTTGGAGCATTTTCCCTCTTTGGACACGGGCATTTGCCTAGCTACAGTCACCAGGCCATGTTGGTGACGCAGACTGGCTGACATCACTCTTTTTGGCCTGTGGATATATTGTCATGGCATTTTAGAAGGAGTTAACCTGCATTCCTTATAGCCACTGTTTTGGATAGAGGTATAATTAGGCCAAACCTGTTGGTATCTTTCCTTTGGTATGATCCTCCTCTTTGGTAATGTCAGCCCAAATACATTGTTAAAACTTTGCAAGAAAATTCATTTGGTCTTAAACCAAATCCACCATCAGCCATCTTTCTGCATTTAACTCCTCAAGAAAATGTTAATAGTATTAGGTTAAAGATTAGCAAAAAAAACTCACATTCTAGATGCAAAAATCATCATACAATACCTTTGATACCATAAACTTATCATGTGGCATGGAATATTCAACACATCAACTTAGTGATCTTCCTTGATCTCGACACAGCCCAGTTGCTCTCTGCTTACTAGTGGCAACCTCACAATGCAAACAAGCACATACCCAGCCTCACACTACACTGTTGATACCGACACAAAATCTCTGAACATACTCCAATCCACAATGGGGTTTATGTTTTTAGGCGTGTTTAGCAAGATTCTCAGACCTCAGAAGCCCTAATCTACATCACTGAAGGTGCAACCCAAGTATACCTCCAATTGCCATGCTTACTCCAGTTTGCAACATTGTTATCCACGCATCTGGTCTATCAATTTCTGGTCTGTGCCTCCTGGAAGAAGTGGAACCGTTGATGAGCCCTGGAACCAGTCAGCTGGCGAGCTGGCCCTGTCCATCGATACTTGAACACATCCTTCTCTCCTGGCATTCCTGGAGTTGATCTTGCCACTCTAAACTTCAAGTCCAGTCCTTTTGTCCTTTTCTTTCTTGATCGGTCTTTCTGCCATGCAAGCGCACCTCCAGTTGATCTTGGCGATCCAAGATCTGCTCCTGCTGCGAACCGAGCTGCCAGAGAGACTGATCAAGTGCTAGCAAATATTGTTGCATGGCCAAATACTACTCATTTCCATGCTTCTGATCCGTCAGATACTGCTGCATGAATGCTTGCAGCACATTCTTCAGCCCCTCCAATGAGGATGCCACGTCAATATCTGGTTCCAACGTCACATTGGCCACCTTGTGCATGGCGAGAAGCCCTAGCCATTTCTGCCGTGACCCCAATCATGGAACCCTGGCTGCTCCTGAGTGGAGACGGAGACAGCCTCTCAATCGGACAGCTCTCTTCCCGCTTCCTCATCCTCACAGATTAACATGAACGCCCAGAGGATTGGCGCTCTGATACTACTGTAAAGACCCAGGATCTAACTATTCTACCGTGGTGCCAAGTTTGGAATGAAGCACCATGCTCTATAATTGCTCTCACCTTGCTGAACAAAATGATTATAGGGAAAGGGAATTTCGAGAGTCGAACTCAATACTCCTATCATAAGATTTGAGAATGAAGCAATTTGATGAATCTTTTGTTGGTGGTTGCAGACTTTCATGGGGGCTTGGATGGATTTTAGCACGACACGAAACTGGACTGTCTGCTGCTATTTCCCCTAGCCGATATTGCACCGATGAATCCAGCAAACAACAGCAATGAGGAACTGATGATCAACAAAAGAAAAACCGCACGGAACTCATCCATTTCGCGAAGAATCATATAACAATCGCTCTCGGGCAGGAAACAAAACAGGGCCATTGGACTTCCTCCTTTTGTTTCTCAATTGTTCATTCAGGCTCACCCTGGAAACTCGGTGTGTTTACAAATCAAACGATCAAACTATATTAGTCTAATATTAGAGTTTCAAAAATGTTTTTCGCGCGCTAAATTCGTGAAGAATGCCTGTGAATTCTAGCCGATCCGCGCACTACGAGCAGCGCGAATCGCACAAAGATTTACTGCCGGAGCTGCGATCCTGCCGAGATCTTACGCAGGCCAAGCGCCTCCATTCTCTCATCGCTCCCCGCCTCCACAGCGATAAGTTCCTGGCCAATCTGGTGGTACAGATGTATGGCCGGTGCCATAGCGTGGAGGAAGCTAGGGCCGTTTTTGACGGCATCCGCGAGCCCGATCTATACACCTGGACACTCATGCTCGTCGCATATGCCCAAAACGGGCATCTGGAAGATGCAAAACTAATGTTCGATAGGATGCCCGTCCGTAACTCCGTGTCGTGGAACGCCTTGTTAGTGGCTTATACGAAAGCTGGGTATTTAACTCAATCCTGGAATTTGTTTCAGGAAATGCCCGAAAAAACCGTGATATCTTGGACAACTATTCTTCAGGCATATGCCCAGGAAGGGAATCTCGAGGCTACCAAGCACACGTTTGATACCATGCCAAAAAAGAATATCTACAGCTGGACGGTGATGATGCAAGCATACATTGCAGGTGGAAGGCTGGATCACGCTCAGAGTATCTTTGTCTCAATGCCTTACCGAAACACAGTGTCCTGCACTGCTATGGCCGCAGCATATGCCCAGGATGGGAATATTCCTAAAGCTGAAGGTATTACGAGCGGCATGCCGATTTTGGACCTGGTTTCACAGAACGCAATGGTGGCGGCATTTTCTCAAAGAGGGTTTGTGGAGGAGGCCAAGAAAACGTTTGATGGAATGCTGGAGAGAGATATCATCTCTTGGAGTGCATTGCTACAAGCTTTTGTGGAAAATCAAGACTTGGAAAAATGCAATAGAGTGTTTGATAGAATGCCCGAGCACAATCTAGTGGCTTGTAATTCTATGATATCTGCTTACGCCCAAAGTGATTGCCATTGCGAGCAAGCCAAATCTTTATTTGATAAGATGCCCGAGCGAGACGTTCTTTCATGGACGTCGATCATGCAAGTTTTTGCGCAGCATGGGCATCTTGAAGATGTCAAAGTATTATTTGACCAGATGCCGATGAAAGACGTTATATCATGGACTTTGCTCCTCCATGCATATGCCCGGGAAGGGCAAATGGTGTGCGCACAGGGAGTATTCGAAAGTATGCCGCTGGACGATGCGGTGCCTTGGAACATCCTCGTTGGCGGATATTCTCAGGCTGGGGACGTGGCAGAGGCCCGCAGCGTTTTTAACAAGATTCCCGAAAGAAATATTCTCTCCTGGAATTCCATGGTTGTGGGATATGCCCAGAACGGGCATCTTGACGGGGCAAGAAATCTCTTCGAGAAGATGTCCAAACGGACGCTTGTGACATGGACGGCTTTGATTGCTGGATATGCTCACTTTGGTCATGGACGTGATGCCATCCAAATCTTCCATGAAATGGAGGTGGAGGGTATTGATCCAGACGACCTTTGTTTTTTGAAGGTGATATCAGCTTGCACCCACATTGGTTTGCTAGAGAAAGCGCTAAATTATCTCTTATCTATGAGCTCCGATCATTGTCTAGAACCCAGCCAAGAACACTATGTCTGCGTTGCAGATGGCTTTGGGCGGATTGGAAACTTGAAGAGGGCGGAAGAGGTGATTTATGGCATGCCATACAAACCAAACGCCGAGGCTCTTGGAGCTCTGCTTGGTGCTTGTAGAATCCATCCACAGAACTCCCCCACGATTGGAAAAAGAGCAGCGAATCAAGTTCTCAGAGATAACAATCCCAAGGACGTCCATCGTTTGCTCCATATCTTCACGTAAAGGCATATCGCTAGCAAAACTTGTTAGAGAAGAACGCTATGAGATCTGTAATGCAGGGTTTTAGAGACTAGAAAAGAAAAGATCTTGAGTACCTTGAAAGCGATTAGCTCTGAGGCCGAGCAAGCGGAGAGCCATCTAACTTTGCTAGCAACTTGGGAGTGGTAAAAACTCCTCCCAAATTTGCCGAACTTTTCGTGGCACTCGATCTCCAACGCTGATGCTGCTGCTGTTGTGTTGACAGCGTCCGCACAACCTAGTATAAGCAAAGTTTTAGACATTGTGAAGCTGCTAGTTTAACTGTTCGCTGACCAAGGCGCTCGATGGCTGCTCGCACTGTGTTTTCTAGGCGTGCTCGTGATGTAGAGCGGAGCTCCTCGGTTACCAAATTGTTTTGAGCTGATTTTTTCTGTTTGTACAAAAACCAAATTATTGAGTGCGAAGCCAAAAGCAAATTCAGCTTACCTTTGGTTGTTTGGCTTTTTGTTCTTCCTCGGCACGCAGCAAAGCTGCAACTCTTTTCTCGACTTTCTTTCCACCTTTACTCGCAGCTTCCCTGGCTTTCTCGTCTGCATAAGAAAAAGATTGGCAGTCCTTTCCGACGTAAGTACAGTGTACCTTCAGAGTCCGATATATCGTCTTCCGCATCGTGTTCGTCCACATCTTCATTGTCGTAATTCCAAAACTCGCTCTTATCATTCGGCGAAGAACAATCCCTGCAACAAGTAAACAATAAGCTTTCAAAAAGAGAAGTAATAACACCTACGATTTTATGCGTACACCGGACTGCCATACGGAGTTGAAACACGAAGCATCCGCAAGCTCCTTCAAATCTCTAGAGAGTTTCTCCGGCCACTTACATGCATCACACGTCTTACTGCATAGTAAAGGAGAGACCTGCAAGGAAATTTCTACGCGCGACGAGAAAACACAAGCGCTTACATTTTCTCCGAAGTGTTCCAGTACTCTACGCCTTCGGCAGCTTGCTTCTTCGCAGTAGGCCACTACCTAAAGGCTCAAAAACTTTATATCAGGAAAGACAAAAACGAAAGAAAAAATCTGCAAGCTTACACCTTTTCAAAAGCTTCGATATTTTTCTTTAGCAGCTCATTCTCTCCATTCTCACTAATTCCACCCTGTTGCCTTTGAGAAGAACTCCTTATGACGTACTCCTGTCACAAAAATTGCGTCGACTGTGTAAACAACGAGAGAAGAAAGTATTATATTCACACACAAACCATGGTTCGCTTGTCGTCGACACTGTAATAAAGTATACTTTTGGCGGGTTTACCATCACGACCTGCGCGTCCCGACTCTTGGTAAAAGGATTCGAGCGACTTGGGCATGTTAAAATGACACACCATCCTAACATCCTTCCGATCTATTCCCTGCGCACCATTACCTCATTATCCAAGATACGTAAAGCTAACAATAAACTTGTACCATCCTAGGGAAAAAAAAGAAGAGAAGAAGCAACTGTAAGTTGTTTGATTTCAAAAACTTTGAGGATAACGTACCCAAATGCGATAGTCGCCACAATAATATGAACTTCTCCAAGAACCCAGTCTTGCAATGCCTGGCTCCGAGCTTTAACGTTGATACCCGCGTGATATACTGCATAATATATTCTGAGTCAGTAGGAACAAGAGAGGCATGCATATCATACCTCGACACGAGATCCCATCCGATTTTAACCGCGAGCCTATTTCATCGCACATGGCGCGAGCATGACAGTAAATAATCATGCACCGCGTCGGAGCTTTCGTGATTATATTTCGCAGATCCTCGTAAGCACTCGTCATCAAGTCCTTGAAGCGCACTAGTGTTCAGATCATATCGTCAGTAACGACTCGCTGCTTGAAGATTTACCTTCATAGAAAATATTTGCACGATTAAAAGACGATATTAAAACTGCTGCCTTTTGCAAACTAAGTGATTTGATGATGTCTTCTTGCACCCTGTAAAACGAGCATAATCATATGTTTGCGCAAGTGAAATCTAGTAGACTTACTTCTTGCTGGCTGTCGCTGTTAGAGCTAGTATTGGAATGTCAGGTAGGCTTGTTCTCAAGGCTGACAACTTCCGATAGCTTGGTCTAAGAACAGCAAATTATCAAGCACGGAGACATCTAGAAGCACGATTCATTACCTGAAGTCGTGTCCCCAGGATGATATACAATGCGCCTATTGAACAAGTCATGATAAAACAAAGAAATAATTTTTAAAAAAAGAAAACCTCATCAATGGCAATCAGAGACAGAAGGCTCCTCTCGTGAAGCTTTCTCAGCTTTTGCATGAGATGGTTGGTTGCAACCGATTCTGGAGTAACATACAGCAGCTTTAAATTCGGTTTACCAGATTGAAGCTCCTCGAATATCTGCAAGCACAAAACAGATCTCGAAATGAGGTAAGTATCGGATACCTTGTTCCTCATTTTCACGGGTTGTGACGATGACAAGTACTCTGCAAATATTTGACGGGATTTTAAAGCAGCAACTTGATCTTCCTGATGTAAAATAAGAAAGAAAAGGTTGGAAAACTTGTTTATAGATCCAGAACGAAAAAATTCTTACCATCAATGCTTTGGCATAAGGAAAGAAGCAAAACCGTGTCAGCAAATTCACGATAGGATGAAAATCTTTCCTTACCAATCAATGGCGAAACCACAAGAACAATTCCTGGCTTTGCCAGCGCTGGAATCTGATAGCAGAGAGACTTCCCGGCACCCGTCGGCATCATGCAGAAGCAATCTTTGCCTGAAGCATCCGAAAATCTTGAAATCCAGGCACACATTTAGTGACTCACCTGCTAGAACAGCCTCGATCGCGTCGAGCTGCAATCCGCGGAAGCTCGAGTGGCCGAAGTAGCGCTGGAGGAGATCCTCGAGACGCGGCCGATCTTCCTCCCTCTTGCGCTTGGCATTCCGAGGCGTGTCATCGTCCGCGCGTAAGGGAAGAAGCCCCTTCATCACGCCTCTAAACCCTAAACCTAAATTTCGAAAGCCATGGCGGGAAAGTGATTTATTTCTAACTGTGCAATACATCATACTTCTCACTGCGCATTGCGAGCACAGAGAAACCTGGCAGTATTGCTTAAACTTGATCTTGGGAAGTGAGATTTCTCCACAGATTCCAGAGCTCTGGATCTGCGAGACATCCACAAAATCTCCAGCTCCAGATCCGTCGATGGATTCGAGAGCTCTTCCCGAAACTTGCGAGACAACGAGATCATCCTGTGGCAAAGAATCATCAGGAGTAAAGAAAGAGTTCCTAGGAAGCTAGATTTGTTCCTCGCAGATTCATCAGCTCCCAATCGATCTAGAAAAACAAAATTGAAAAGCACAAAGGGGGGATTAGAGAGAGGAGCGATTCAAGTGGCGATTTCTTGCGCTTCCTCGCTGGATTTGATCTCGCCGGCTTCGTTCTCGCCCTTTTCTTCGCCCTTGCTGACCGAATCAAGCACCGCCTGCTCAGCGCGCAGCACGACCCCGTAGTAATCCTGGTTGCTCTCCATGCAAGCCTTCAAGAATCGCATCGCCGGCCTACACTTCTCGACTGGCGACTCCGCTCCCTCGGATTTCTCCGATTTCTTCTTCTCCTCCTCCTCCTCCTCCTCCTCCTCCTCCTCGGACCTGTCGGTGCAATCTTCCCAGCTCACAAACTCGCCGCCGCAAGGCCCCTTTTTCATGAAAGCGCAGAATCCACACTCACCATCGGCCGCATCCTCCTCCTCGGCCGCTTGCTGCTGGACGGGATCATCCTCATCCTCCAGCGACCGCGACGCCACCGTAAAGCCTCCAGCGACCGCGACGCCACCGTAAAGAACCCTAAAACCTAAAACCTAAAACCTTAGGAACCCTAAAACGTTTATAAGGGGGTGTTTTGTTAATTATATTATATTAGTCCTAAGTTAACACCAACATACTCGCCTGCGTCGGCGAATCTGGCCTCCCTCAGCCTGGACATGTCTGCTAAGCACCAAACAGTGATCCCATTTTTTTCCTCTTTCTCTTCAGTTCTCACAACACCATTCATGCTTGGAGAGCTGACTTTCGTTTTCTCCTCGTGGACTTTTCGGATCAACCAAAAGAGTATTTGAGGGCGCGACAAAATTCGTCACACTCCAAGTATTCTTCTGCCTCTTTTTGATCCGTCTCCAATCGGGAATCACTTTCGAGCTCGGATCTTTCGTGATATAGTTCATAGCGATCATGGTCAAGTTATTGATTGTTCTCCTGCTGCTAGTGGCCTCCATTGGCGTTGTAGTGTTCACAAACAGGCAGAGTTTCGAGAGGCAGCGGCACCGCGATTCGTTTCCATCCCTGCTGCTTGGCAAGCTTCCCAGGAAAGTTTCGACCCCTCCACCGGGACCATCTCTCAGGCACAATGAAAACTTGGTGAGATCGAGCCACAGCATCGCAGATCCATGAAGTTTGAAACACACAGGATTATAGGTGTTCTTGCTTAAACTTTGTGAATATACACACAGTATAATTCTATCACTATCACGTTAGCTTCGTGATCCTTGACTAGTGACAAGTTTTTCTTGGTCCGGCAGCAACTAGTCAAATTTTACGCCTGCTTTCATGACTCGGCATGGAGGGGACCAAGAGCATCGTCACAGCATCCACGAGGTCAAAAATGCGATCCACCTGTGAATCATTAAACCTTGGAAACGAGAGAGGGGGCATTCCGAGAATTGAACTCGGGACCTCTCGAAGTACCATTAAAAAGGTTTTAAGCGTGATTACGATTAGCCTCTGTTTGCACGAATTGTGAGAATTGTCTCGCACCCGAAGCGAGAATCGTACCAGTAGACCAAATGCCCATCAACAAGAAAGTGTAAAACCTTTGCAGATTCTCTTTCTCTTGGTGATGATAATGGCTATGGAAGTGAAACTCACTTACGAAACAAAAAGGGGGGCCTCTCAAAGTGAGAAGCATACCATTAGACATTAACAAGCTTGGTAGAAACTTTCCAAAAGGGGCATTCCGGGAATCGAACTCGGGACCTCTCGCACCCGAAGCGAGAATCATACCACTAGACCAAATGCCCGTTAACAACAAAGCATGATTAGTATGAAACTTTTTGCGATGAAACGAATAGAACAGACGAAGAAAATTCTCATAGAGTTGATTGATTAGCTGTTATTTTCAACGAGATACCTAGAGAATAATCACACCCAAAAAGCATCCTTCTATTTCTGGATTTTATCGATTGGTGTTGACAAAAGCCTTCTAATTCAATCTTTTCTCTATAACCTTTCCATGCACACAATTCGTGAATATATACGTCTAGACATACGCTCGCAATACGTAGCACACCAACAAAAGTCATGAACTACCTATTCGCGCCGGATATTCTCGCGTTCCCAAAGCAGGAATCACCGAGTTCTTTCTCTCTTTTTTTTCTTTTGAAAGGTGAGGTCGGTTCTGATTGGGAGAGATAGCAAACCCCACCAAACTAAAACCACGAAAACCTTCCCTCCAAACGCACCAGTTTTTAAAATCCCGGCAGTGGAAATCCTCCGCAGAAGCTGCCCGCCGCATTGTTTAGTTCACAGCTCGTGTGGAAAAGGGAAAAGAAACGCAAAGAAAAATCATTTCTAGATGACTGCTAGTCGATTATTTTATGGGAAGTTGCTTCTTTCAGCAGTACTCGTCCTTGCGGGCTTCGTTCTTAGCCAGTCTGGATCATCGCCGACGAGCAGGAAGATCCTGGCCTCCTTGGATGAATCTCAGACGCGGAATTCTCCGGCTGGGGAGCAATCGGAGCTCCAATCGTGGAGCAGGAGTGCGGGAGCAACCACGGACAACAATTCGATCGAGAAGCCACCGAGATCATTCTCCACAATGCTTCCCAGGGGAGTTTTCTATCCTCCAGCGGGGCCCAATCCCTGGGGAAACTCGGATTTGTTCCGGGAGAAGCAGCATTGAGGGATGCATTTGCTCCAAGAGGAAGAAGATGAAAAAAAAAATATGAAAGCTGGCCCATGCAGGTCTCGAACCTGCGACCTTGGCGTTATTAGCACCACGCTCTGACCAGCTGAGCTAATAGGCCTCAACATTGTGATTGTAAATAACCAAACTAAATTAAGCAAAAGATTTCGAACGTCCACGTGACGAAATAAAAACCAGTTTGGCCTATGCAGGTTTCAAACCTGCGACCTTGGCGTTATTAGCCTGACCAGGCCTCCATGTTGTACTTATATCAATTAACTAAATATATATAAATAAAATAAGCGTGATTAAATTACTAACTTGAAATTAAATAGTTAAAGCCTGGTTAAATATAATAAAAAACTATTGGCGGTTTGTTAGCACTAATGTAACCCTAGAGCGCGCGAAGCAATGGCAACGTCGCAGGAGGACACGCATGGCGCGCCGCGTGATGTAGCCGATCGTCTTCGCCACTGGTATTCTAGCTCGTAGCTCCTCCCCAGAAATGCTGTTGCCGGAGCAATCCAAGCCTTCCCAGAGGAGAAAGAAGCGATGTGTATGCTAGCACAGCTTCTCGCCGCGGCGATCCTCCAGAAAAGGCTAGGCGCTAGCTCCAGCCCCCTCCCCATCGCATTCTCCCCGTGTTGATATTGTTGGTGGAAATATTTTCTCCTCAGGATGGGGCAGCGCCTGGGAAAGCCGGAATCGTCCAGGAGGCCGCCTCCCAAGCCCAAGAAGGTGATGCACAGGGACAATCGGACCTTCCGGGCCGAGGATTTCTCCGGCATTGTCCGAATCCATTTGGCAGAGGTGAGCGGATCGATTGCTCTTCTTTCTTTCACTTTTCCCCTTTTTGGTGCTTTTAGGCGGAAATGCAACGAAGAGCAAAGTGGTTTGCCTGTGTTTCTATCGGAGAGCAGGCGTTTAGGACATCAACGTCTCCCAGGTTACGCTTTGCTCCTCCTTCGCATTTTCCAAGTTTCTTTTCCTGATGCTGTGATGTGTGACAAAAATTGTTATGCAGCACAGACAATCCCCAATGGAAATCTGTAAGTGCTTTTTGGTTGTGGACTGCTGCTTTGTACTATTTTCGCTTTGTTCCAGGAGAAGAAAGTAGCACTAGAGCAAAATGGTCCTCGCATCACCCGGATCTCGGTTTTTGAGGTGATTTCGTTTTGTTTAGAGCTAGAACTTACGGTGTTAACAGGTGCATAAGCTCGCGAAAAACACCCTCGTTGGTTACTGCGAAATCGATCTGTCCCTTGTGCTTCGCCCAGTAAGTCTTGTATTATTTCCGTTTCGTGCTTTGCTGAACTGCGGCTCAGGATGAAGAAAATTCTGAGATGCTTTATCTGTTTGATCCAAGTACAAAGACGAAAACTGTCGGTCACATCACTGTGGAGTACAGGATTGAGGTATAAGCTGCTGTTTCGGACAACTGCCTGCCTAAGCCGTTTTGTCTCGTAGAGTCAAATGGAAACAGAGCGAAGCTTTGCGAGGCGTCTGCTTGCAATAGTGGTACGTTACAAATTTCTTTTAGATGCACACACCTTCAACGTTAGTGCAGGACTTTGATGAAAATGGCGAGTTATCGCTGGACGAGTTTCATGATTTGATCAAATCCTTTGGGAACAGAATGTCTGACGAGGAGGTAACATTTTTCTGCGTTTTTCTATCACCTCTATAAACTATTCATTGTTGATTTGTAGCTTTCCAACTTGTTTTTGCAAGCTGACGAGAATAAGGATGGAAAAGTCAGTGCCGACGAGCTTGCCCAATTACTTGCCACGCACAAGGAAAGGTAACTATAACACTAATTGCGTTCTTTTTACTGGTGAAAGTTTTACGTTGGACAGAACTATTTGGGTTAAGCAGTGTCCTGTATGTGGTGATAATCTTGGAGTTGTAGACAACCTGAACGACATGATTCACATGAGCCTTTGTTTTGACGAAGGCACTGGTTTGGAAATTATGAGAGGAGGTTTTATAACGGAAAAGCAGGCTTCATATGGGTATATTTGTGTTGAGCGTTTAGTTACAGGCACTGAAAATCTTTTTTATCATTACAGGTGGATGTTCAAATTCAGCGAGTGGGCAAATCTTTCCACGTACG